AGCGCGCGGGGTCCCCGGGGCTGGCGGGAGACCCGCGGCCGGCCCGTCCACATCATTTTTTAAAATGTAACATATCAGAAGAATTTTTCAGATCATTGAAACACTAATATTTTAAGTACTTTATTTTGATGTACTGCCATTTACTTAAACATTTGCCTAAGTAGCATAGACACATTTTTTCCAGTTTGCAATTACAGATTATGCCATAGTGAATGTCTTTGTGCATGTATCTTATTCTCATCTCTGATCACTTTTTTAAGGATAAATTCTCCCAAAGTAGACCTCTTGCAACAAACGGCATGGACTTTGCTATATGTAGCAAGTTGCCTTAGAGTTAACCTGTTCTCAGTTAAATTCCTGAGGCCTTTCATTTTGGAAGCATAAGCGTGGCCTAATTCCTTACTGTTTCCTTCTGGATTCAGAGCCTGAACAGCACGATTTAGCTTGGCTGCCCCTCCCCAGCCTTCCTAACCACTGCTCAAGGTCCCGGGATAAGCCCTTTGACAGCGTCCTTCCTCCCCTCACAGCTCCCCGCTCTGGAAGACCAGCTCAGCACCCTCCTGGCCCCAGTCATCATCTCCTCCATGACCATGCTGGAGAAACTCTCAGACACGTACACCTGCTTCTCTACAGAAAATGACAACCACCTGTACGTCCTTCACCTGGTAGGTATACGGTACTGGGGCCCATGTTCCTCTCCCCTCAGCTCCATGGGGAGTCCACCTGCCTCTCGCCTATCTTGAACTTTAGATTTCTTGAGAAGGCAGCAACTGCATCCTCTCACATAGGCCCCTGGGACCTGCACTTTCCCTCACCTGTCCATAGACATCAGGACAGGCTAAGTCAGTTCCCCAGGGGCTGGCTGACACTGGCCTGGCTGTGCCTACAGTTTGGAGAATGCTTGTTCATCGCCATCAACGGAGACCAGACTGAGTGCGAGGCGGACCTTCGGCGGAAGCTGTGTGTGCTGAAGTACCTGTTCGAGGTGCACTTCGGGCTGGTGACAGTGGACAGCCAGCTCATCCGAAGGGAGTGAGTCCTTGAAGCTAGTCCCCAGGCATTGCTTGCTGAGCACTTATCCGGGGCCTACAGAGTGTGCCCAGCCTCTCTGAAGCTGCCATTCCATGCTCTGTCTCCACCTGGGTCCCTGAGTCAGAGAAGCAGAGCTCAAGAGAGCCTTAGAGACCATCTGGTACAACCATGTGGGAAACTGAGCGCACAGAACTTTTAAAAAACCTTGCCAGGGGCCTCCATCTGGCTGATTGCAGCATCCAGCCTAGAAATCTAGTCAGAGGACTCTCAGTCCAGTGTTGTTTTCGTTCCCCAGGTATCAGTCATGTCATTACAAACCTGGTCTGAGCTGGTTCTCTGTGGCTTCTCAGAGAGGCTTCAGACTCTACAAAAATGCATGTATGGGGGCCAGCATATGGCATAATGGTTCTGTCACTGGACCCCCACATAGTTGACCACAGTTCAAGGCCCAGAACCAGCAGCTTACAACTCACACCAGTGCTTGTATGTACATGCCCAAAATCCTGAGAGGGGAAGAGAGGAGAAGGGGTTGCAGCATGGCCACCCCCCTAGGGGGTGATATCTTGCTTTCTGTCTCTGTGTCTCTATTTCTCCAGTGAGTACACATGCCATATAGTAAAAATCTCTCAAAAAAGAAAAAGGAAAGAAAAGAAAAATGTATGTGTGTGTATACACTTACAATCTGTGAACGTTTTCTGGAGGGACCAGACCCAATACCCATCTCTGGGCCTAGTATAAGGAACTCAGCAAAAGAGAATGATGGTTTAGATATACACTGCTGTGAGAAGGACACCAGGAGCATGATTGAAATGTGGTCCCCAAGAGAGGTTCGCAATAAAGCCTTCTTCCCTGATTCTCCAACTTGAATTGGGAAGTTTTAGACTCAGAGTTTGAAACTTTTGAGTTTTGAAGTAATATGAGCACATACGCATACTGAGGCGCTTACCAAATCTGCAGACATGTCCTGAGTCATTCTTGGCCAGGTAGATCATAGTTTCAGGGGCAAATGCTGCAGGGAGTGAATGCCTGTTACACAAACACAGTTTCCAGCCCAGGTCTAGGCAGCGTTCAAGATGGCGGCAACCCTGTCTATGGCCTGCTGTCCTTCCCCTTTGTGGCTGAAAGAGGCATAGACCATTCAGTACCTTCCTGGCTCTCAGCGCGCGGGGTCCCCGGGGCTGGCGGGAGACCCGCGGCCGGCCCGTCCACATCATTTTTTAAAATGTAACATATCAGAAGAATTTTTCAGATCATTGAAACACTAATATTTTAAGTACTTTATTTTGATGTACTGCCATTTACTTAAACATTTGCCTAAGTAGCATAGACACATTTTTTCCAGTTTGCAATTACAGATTATGCCATAGTGAATGTCTTTGTGCATGTATCTTATTCTCATCTCTGATCACTTTTTTAAGGATAAATTCTCCCAAAGTAGACCTCTTGCAACAAACGGCATGGACTTTGCTATATGTAGCAAGTTGCCTTAGAGTTAACCTGTTCTCAGTTAAATTCCTGAGGCCTTTCATTTTGGAAGCATAAGCGTGGCCTAATTCCTTACTGTTTCCTTCTGGATTCAGAGCCTGAACAGCACGATTTAGCTTGGCTGCCCCTCCCCAGCCTTCCTAACCACTGCTCAAGGTCCCGGGATAAGCCCTTTGACAGCGTCCTTCCTCCCCTCACAGCTCCCCGCTCTGGAAGACCAGCTCAGCACCCTCCTGGCCCCAGTCATCATCTCCTCCATGACCATGCTGGAGAAACTCTCAGACACGTACACCTGCTTCTCTACAGAAAATGACAACCACCTGTACGTCCTTCACCTGGTAGGTATACGGTACTGGGGCCCATGTTCCTCTCCCCTCAGCTCCATGGGGAGTCCACCTGCCTCTCGCCTATCTTGAACTTTAGATTTCTTGAGAAGGCAGCAACTGCATCCTCTCACATAGGCCCCTGGGACCTGCACTTTCCCTCACCTGTCCATAGACATCAGGACAGGCTAAGTCAGTTCCCCAGGGGCTGGCTGACACTGGCCTGGCTGTGCCTACAGTTTGGAGAATGCTTGTTCATCGCCATCAACGGAGACCAGACTGAGTGCGAGGCGGACCTTCGGCGGAAGCTGTGTGTGCTGAAGTACCTGTTCGAGGTGCACTTCGGGCTGGTGACAGTGGACAGCCAGCTCATCCGAAGGGAGTGAGTCCTTGAAGCTAGTCCCCAGGCATTGCTTGCTGAGCACTTATCCGGGGCCTACAGAGTGTGCCCAGCCTCTCTGAAGCTGCCATTCCATGCTCTGTCTCCACCTGGGTCCCTGAGTCAGAGAAGCAGAGCTCAAGAGAGCCTTAGAGACCATCTGGTACAACCATGTGGGAAACTGAGCGCACAGAACTTTTAAAAAACCTTGCCAGGGGCCTCCATCTGGCTGATTGCAGCATCCAGCCTAGAAATCTAGTCAGAGGACTCTCAGTCCAGTGTTGTTTTCGTTCCCCAGGTATCAGTCATGTCATTACAAACCTGGTCTGAGCTGGTTCTCTGTGGCTTCTCAGAGAGGCTTCAGACTCTACAAAAATGCATGTATGGGGGCCAGCATATGGCATAATGGTTCTGTCACTGGACCCCCACATAGTTGACCACAGTTCAAGGCCCAGAACCAGCAGCTTACAACTCACACCAGTGCTTGTATGTACATGCCCAAAATCCTGAGAGGGGAAGAGAGGAGAAGGGGTTGCAGCATGGCCACCCCCCTAGGGGGTGATATCTTGCTTTCTGTCTCTGTGTCTCTATTTCTCCAGTGAGTACACATGCCATATAGTAAAAATCTCTCAAAAAAGAAAAAGGAAAGAAAAGAAAAATGTATGTGTGTGTATACACTTACAATCTGTGAACGTTTTCTGGAGGGACCAGACCCAATACCCATCTCTGGGCCTAGTATAAGGAACTCAGCAAAAGAGAATGATGGTTTAGATATACACTGCTGTGAGAAGGACCCCAGGAGCATGATTGAAATGTGGTCCCCAAGAGAGGTTCGCAATAAAGCCTTCTTCCCTGATTCTCCAACTTGAATTGGGAAGTTTTAGACTCAGAGTTTGAAACTTTTGAGTTTTGAAGTAATATGAGCACATACGCATACTGAGGCGCTTACCAAATCTGCAGACATGTCCTGAGTCATTCTTGGCCAGGTAGATCATAGTTTCAGGGGCAAATGCTGCAGGGAGTGAATGCCTGTTACACAAACACAGTTTCCAGCCCAGGTCTAGGCAGCGTTCAAGATGGCGGCAACCCTGTCTATGGCCTGCTGTCCTTCCCCTTTGTGGCTGAAAGAGGCATAGACCATTCAGTACCTTCCTGGCTCTCTAGCTGGCTTGGTATGATATGTCTCTGGAGAGTAAAGTGATTTTCTTAAACACTCCTAGTTCCATGCCCACACCACCCCACCATGAGGCCACAGCTGAAACATGGCTTTGTGGGCTCTCCCGGTGATGTGATTGTGTCACATGAGCTTACGGGCTCTGACACTGATCTAGGACTGTGATCCCTGGGTACTGTTGGGCATGACCACTTTCTCATGGTCCCTTCTGCTCTCTCCGGCTCTGCCCCCAGGTTGCGGCCCCCAGACCTGGAGCAGCGTGTCCAGGTGTGGGAGCAGTTCCAGAGCCTGCTGTGGACCTACAGCCGCCTGCGGGAACAGGAGCAGTGCTTCGCGGTGGAGGTGACTACTGGGCGTGGGTGTCCTCGAGCTTTGGAGCTAGCAGGTCAGAGTGGGCACCCAGCTTTAAGTCCGTATTTTCACCCTAATGAGGGGAGGTACACATAGACCCTGAAATAACATGTATTTACAGATAATTGTTCTTTCTGGCCCTGTGGCAGTTTAGGTACTCCACTGGCCTTTCCCATAATAAAGCAGCCAGATCCTGAATAAAACCAATTTTTTATGTACTTTTTGTTTTTAAGTTATAGAAATCTCCAAAGATAACCCCTGCAGCCCTGTGACCCCACTAATATATATATATATACACATATATATATTAAACTGAAACTAGAGTTAAAAGCAATGGGAGTGCTGGGGGAAGAAGGCAGCACTAAAGGCAAGAGTGTCCTGCATGCAAACAGTACTAACACTGTAACCAGAAAAAAAGCCCTAGGCCAGCAGCAGTGTGGGGGCTGCTGAACCTGTAGCTCCTAAGCTAAACCCAGACCTGAGAAGTTCAGGTGGGTGTTAGTAGTAATCTCTGGCTCTCTATAGAGGCAAAAGCAAATTCTCTCTAGAGCAGGGGTTCTCACACTCCAGTGTGTATCACAATCATCTATAGGTCTTGTTACACACAGGCTGCTGGACCTCACCCTCATATTTCTCATTTAGTAAGTCTGGGACTGGGGCTCTGGAATTTGCATGTCTAACAAGTTCCCAGGTGACACTGATGAATTATGCTAGTCCAAGAACCATGCTTTGAAAACCACTGCTTTGGAGGACAGATTAGGATCAAACAAGAGCTCACAGTTAAGAAGGATAGATGTACAAGAAAACAAGCTACCCTGAGTGAGAGTCAGGGAAATCAATCACCAACAGATTTAAGTCCCAAGGAGCTTGATATATTGGAGTTATTAAGTATAGAATAAAAATAACTATAAAATACTTAAAAACATAAAGGATAGGATTACAAATAGGAACAAGTAACCAGAGATTCAAAAGTGACCAGGCCAATTAGAAAAATAATGCATATAGATATTCTAGAAATGGAAACAATTGTAGAAGTGAAAAACTCAAGGAATGTGTTCGGTATCTTATGAGACATAGCTAGAGAGAGAATTAGTGAACTGAAAAATAGATCTGAAGGAATTAAAATTCATTCTCACATCCTCCACTCCTTCACTGTTCTAGTAAACATTTAGTACTTCTGTATTTTTAGATGTCTCAAAGTCCTAGGAATTCAGATATACATAAAGATGTATGTATATCTTGAGGGAAGACTCACCATGTATATTGGTTTGCTGGAAAAGTCATGACACATTTTTGCATAGAAAAACATACAAAAATACATCATGACCTTCCAGATAACTTAATATATACTGAAAAACATAGTAACATATCCTGGGTGCCATATTAGATTTCGCATCCAAAGCCATGGATCCAAGCTGAAAGAATGGAGTGGCCAATTCTTTCTCAGGCATCAGGAAAGACTTCCTGTAGGAGGTGACCTAGTGCAGTTAAGATAAAGTCCAGACTCTTTCTCAAGCCCACCAGCCTGTCTGATCTGTCACTAGCCGTTTCACCCCAGCCTCATCTTGTGCCCCTGTAGTCCTCTTGCACTAGGCACTTGTCTCATGGGCCTTCTTTCTCTGTGCGGAGCGGTAGTCATTACCTACCACTAAGAGTGGCTGTGGGACTCTTGAAATGTAGCTGGTCCAAACTGAGTTATGCTCCACATGGAAAATGGATCCCAGATTTTGATAATTTAGCACAAGAAGAATGTGAAGTGTCCCAGTAATAATACTTTTACCTGTTGGTAATGTTAGATATAATGGGTAAAATAAAGTATAATATTAAAATTAACTTTGTTTCCTCTTACCTTTTCAATGCAATTACTAGAAAACTTTAAATTACATATAGGCTTTGCCTTATACTTCAGTTGGACAACTGTGCTCTATGGTCCGTCCCCACCTCAAGACCTTTGCATATGCAGCTTCCTCAGCCTGCTGTGTCCTCCCTCTCCCTCTCTGTCGGCAGGTTTTCCAGTTGTTTAGATCACAGTTTAAAGGTCATGTCAGGGCCTTTACTCGGGACTCCCTCCCCAGGTAGGTCTTAGTTGTTCTTCTGTAGCCCGTGTATTTCCTAATCAGCAGTTACCGCAGTCGGCTTACTGCAGCTACTTTGTCTGTTGCCTTGTGTGTTGTCTGGCTCACCCACTGGAGTGGATGCCCTAGGAAGGTTGGGACCTTGCTGGTCTTATCCTCACTGCGCCCAAGTATCCAGTGCATAATCTGGACTCCGCGTGGACTGAGTGAGCAAACCCTCTAGGTGAGGGCAGGGATGGGGGAGGATAGTTGATCACAGGCTTCCTGTCCTTGCCCACCCCGGCAGGCTGTGGAGCGGCTGATCCACCCCCAGCTCTGTGAGCTGTGCATCGAGGCGCTGGAGCGGCACGTCATCCAGGCTGTGAACTCCAGCCCCGAGCGGGGTGGCGAGGAGGCCCTGCACGCCTTCCTGCTCGTGCACTCCAAGCTGCTGGCTTTCTACTCCAGGTGCGCCCCCATGCCCGGGGTGACGGTGTGGCATCCCCCTGCCTCCCACGCTCACCCCTTCTTATTGCCTCTGCCTGACAAGTACCACCCCCCTGCCAGAGAAAACCTTCAAGACCCATCTCTTCCAGGAAGCCAACCCAGATTCTTCATTCTTCAACCTCTCCCAGTTCACTCACCTTTCAAGTGATGTCTTCTGGGACACTGTTCTAGAATCCGAATTTAGGAGAACTCCCTTTTATGCTGTTGTTAATCCCTAACACAGTGCTTTCCCATTGACATTTTTATTTTTTTAACTATCTATTTAATTTTATTTGTTATTATTAATTTTCTTAATTTTGACCAGAGAGACAGAGAAAGAGAAAGGGAAAGCAAGAAAGCAAGCCACCAGGTCCAGGATTCAAACCATGGTCGGCCATGTGGGAGTCCAGCACCTTAACCACCATGCCGTCTGGAGCTGAACCTGTAGCTCCTAAGCTAAACCCAGACCTGAGAAGTTCAGGTGGGTGTTAGTAGTAATCTCTGGCTCTCTATAGAGGCAAAAGCAAATTCTCTCTAGAGCAGGGGTTCTCACACTCCAGTGTGTATCACAATCATCTATAGGTCTTGTTACACACAGGCTGCTGGACCTCACCCTCATATTTCTCATTTAGTAAGTCTGGGACTGGGGCTCTGGAATTTGCATGTCTAACAAGTTCCCAGGTGACACTGATGAATTATGCTAGTCCAAGAACCATGCTTTGAAAACCACTGCTTTGGAGGACAGATTAGGATCAAACAAGAGCTCACAGTTAAGAAGGATAGATGTACAAGAAAACAAGCTACCCTGAGTGAGAGTCAGGGAAATCAATCACCAACAGATTTAAGTCCCAAGGAGCTTGATATATTGGAGTTATTAAGTATAGAATAAAAATAACTATAAAATACTTAAAAACATAAAGGATAGGATTACAAATAGGAACAAGTAACCAGAGATTCAAAAGTGACCAGGCCAATTAGAAAAATAATGCATATAGATATTCTAGAAATGGAAACAATTGTAGAAGTGAAAAACTCAAGGAATGTGTTCGGTATCTTATGAGACATAGCTAGAGAGAGAATTAGTGAACTGAAAAATAGATCTGAAGGAATTAAAATTCATTCTCACATCCTCCACTCCTTCACTGTTCTAGTAAACATTTAGTACTTCTGTATTTTTAGATGTCTCAAAGTCCTAGGAATTCAGATATACATAAAGATGTATGTATATCTTGAGGGAAGACTCACCATGTATATTGGTTTGCTGGAAAAGTCATGACACATTTTTGCATAGAAAAACATACAAAAATACATCATGACCTTCCAGATAACTTAATATATACTGAAAAACATAGTAACATATCCTGGGTGCCATATTAGATTTCGCATCCAAAGCCATGGATCCAAGCTGAAAGAATGGAGTGGCCAATTCTTTCTCAGGCATCAGGAAAGACTTCCTGTAGGAGGTGACCTAGTGCAGTTAAGATAAAGTCCAGACTCTTTCTCAAGCCCACCAGCCTGTCTGATCTGTCACTAGCCGTTTCACCCCAGCCTCATCTTGTGCCCCTGTAGTCCTCTTGCACTAGGCACTTGTCTCATGGGCCTTCTTTCAATGTCAGGAATGTTCTTCATTACCTCTGTGCAGAGCGGTAGTCATTAGCTACCACTAAGAGTGGCTGTGGGACTCTTGAAATGTAGCTGGTCCAAACTGAGTTATGCTCCACATGGAAAATGGATCCCAGATTTTGATAATTTAGCACAAGAAGAATGTGAAGTGTCCCAGTAATAATACTTTTACCTGTTGGTAATGTTAGATATAATGGGTAAAATAAAGTATAATATTAAAATTAACTTTGTTTCCTCTTACCTTTTCAATGCAATTACTAGAAAACTTTAAATTACATATAGGCTTTGCCTTATACTTCAGTTGGACAACTGTGCTCTATGGTCCGTCCCCACCTCAAGACCTTTGCATATGCAGCTTCCTCAGCCTGCTGTGTCCTCCCTCTCCCTCTCTGTCGGCAGGTTTTCCAGTTGTTTAGATCACAGTTTAAAGGTCATGTCAGGGCCTTTACTCGGGACTCCCTCCCCAGGTAGGTCTTAGTTGTTCTTCTGTAGCCCGTGTATTTCCTAATCAGCAGTTACCGCAGTCGGCTTACTGCAGCTACTTTGTCTGTTGCCTTGTGTGTTGTCTGGCTCACCCACTGGAGTGGATGCCCTAGGAAGGTTGGGACCTTGCTGGTCTTATCCTCACTGCGCCCAAGTATCCAGTGCATAATCTGGACTCCGCGTGGACTGAGTGAGCAAACCCTCTAGGTGAGGGCAGGGATGGGGGAGGATAGTTGATCACAGGCTTCCTGTCCTTGCCCACCCCGGCAGGCTGTGGAGCGGCTGATCCACCCCCAGCTCTGTGAGCTGTGCATCGAGGCGCTGGAGCGGCACGTCATCCAGGCTGTGAACTCCAGCCCCGAGCGGGGTGGCGAGGAGGCCCTGCACGCCTTCCTGCTCGTGCACTCCAAGCTGCTGGCTTTCTACTCCAGGTGCGCCCCCATGCCCGGGGTGACGGTGTGGCATCCCCCTGCCTCCCACGCTCACCCCTTCTTATTGCCTCTGCCTGACAAGTACCACCCCCCTGCCAGAGAAAACCTTCAAGACCCATCTCTTCCAGGAAGCCAACCCAGATTCTTCATTCTTCAACCTCTCCCAGTTCACTCACCTTTCAAGTGATGTCTTCTGGGACACTGTTCTAGAATCCGAATTTAGGAGAACTCCCTTTTATGCTGTTGTTAATCCCTAACACAGTGCTTTCCCATTGACATTTTTATTTTTTTAACTATCTATTTAATTTTATTTGTTATTATTAATTTTCTTAATTTTGACCAGAGAGACAGAGAAAGAGAAAGGGAAAGCAAGAAAGCAAGCCACCAGGTCCAGGATTCAAACCATGGTCGGCCATGTGGCAGGCTGTGAACTCCAGCCCCGAGCGGGGTGGCGAGGAGGCCCTGCACGCCTTCCTGCTCGTGCACTCCAAGCTGCTGGCTTTCTACTCCAGGTGCGCCCCCATGCCCGGGGTGACGGTGTGGCATCCCCCTGCCTCCCACGCTCACCCCTTCTTATTGCCTCTGCCTGACAAGTACCACCCCCCTGCCAGAGAAAACCTTCAAGACCCATCTCTTCCAGGAAGCCAACCCAGATTCTTCATTCTTCAACCTCTCCCAGTTCACTCACCTTTCAAGTGATGTCTTCTGGGACACTGTTCTAGAATCCGAATTTAGGAGAACTCCCTTTTATGCTGTTGTTAATCCCTAACACAGTGCTTTCCCATTGACATTTTTATTTTTTTAACTATCTATTTAATTTTATTTGTTATTATTAATTTTCTTAATTTTGACCAGAGAGACAGAGAAAGAGAAAGGGAAAGCAAGAAAGCAAGCCACCAGGTCCAGGATTCAAACCATGGTCGGCCATGTGGGAGTCCAGCACCTTAACCACCATGCCGTCTGGAGGCCCCAACATTTTTCTTTTTTAAAACAACCAACCAAGTTTTATTTGTTAATTGGTGAATTTGGCCCAGCTGTGGTGGTGAGTGAGTGGCGACAACACTCTGCTATGCTGAGGCCATGTGGGAGAGTCCCAGGTTCGCATCCTGGGACCTGGGACTCCTTGTCTATGCCAGGCACGTGCACTTGCAATCCTTCCTGGCTGGGATGGGGGAGGCTTGTGGTCTGAAGACCCTGTTGTCCTCTCTCTCCATCTATGCCTCTCTCATCTCCCTCTCTTATAGAGACAATGAAAGAAAAATTAGTTAAAGAGCTTTACTTATACTTTCTGAATCTTTCAAAAGGTTGAAATCAGCACATTTGCAGACTCTGAGTGCAGAGGGCAGGCCCAGACTTCCCTCACCTGCCTGCCCAGCCCACTGCTACCCGCTGGGCACATGCTCATGGCCTCTCCCACCTCCACAGCCACAGTGCGGGCTCTCTGCGCCCTGCTGACCTCCTGGCCCTCATCCTGCTGGTTCAGGACCTCTACCCCAGCGAAAGCACAGCGGAGGACGACGATGTTCAGGTTTGGGCAGCTCTGAGAGCAGAGGGAGGCCTTCAGGAGGCGACTCAGAGACCCTGCCAGGAGAGTGGAGGCCAGGCTCTTCGGGGAGGCTCTGGTTTAAGGCACAGTTCTGGGCATGCGGCCTGATTGTTTTCTTGCCACTTCATGATATAACGAGAATCCTGGAATGCAGCAGGTCTGGGGGTTAAGAGTGCCGATTTCTGGAGTCAGTGGTGGTTTGAAGCCAGCGCTGCCACTTAGCTGTGTGAGTCGGGCAGGAACTCACGCTCTGAGCTCGAGTCCTTATCTGTGCGATGGGTAGCAACCACGTCATTGTTAGGGGAAAAGGAGACAGTTCCCGTGGAGCCGCTGCCCTGACATCACCATGGGCAGTGAGGGTGGGAATGATGGTCTGGACACACGGTGTCGGAATTCCTGGAGTTGCCGTGGTTCTGGAGAATAGACCGTGTCGAATTGAGACATCCTCTGAAAGTCTGTGGCCCACACAGCCAGGGCTGTGCGAGGGTGTGCGGAGGGGAGAGGTGGAGGGCTTCTCTGAAGTGCCGAGGCCGAGGGCTGTGGTAGGAGCAGGTCTGACGCACACGCGCACTAACCTGGTCTTCCCTGTCCTGTCGCAGCCTTCCCCACGGAGGCCCCGGAGCAGCCAGAACATCCCTGTGCAGCAGCCCTGGAGCCCTGACTCCGCAGCCCTGACCAGGGGGCGATCTGCAACCACAGTGTGTGCTACAGCGCGTGAGGGGGTGGAGGGGGGGTGTCTGCCTCAGCCTACGGCCAGGCTTTCCAGAACTAGGCTTGTGCAGGGGGGAGAGCCTGCGTGCCCCAGGCCTGAGCCGCCTTCTCCTCTCTCCCAGGAGACAGACAGCTTCTCCCTCCACGAGGAGTACTTCACCCCAGCTCCCTCCCCTGGTGAGCAGAGCTCAGGTGAGGTCTGGGGCCAATGGTTAGAGCTGGTGGGTCCCTGGCCCTGTTAGGCCCAGCAGACACCCGCGTTCCCAAGGCCAGGCAGGCCGTGGGCAGCTCCCCTCAGTCTAACCGGCCGGCCTGGCAGCTCTAGCTTGAATTCAAGGACTGAAAAGACCTCTGCAGGGAGCCCTAGGGCATTTCACAAGTGGATTGCATTTAAAAACCCATTTAGTGTGTCCTCACTGCCTCATCTTTCTTTTCTGTTATTAATAATTAAGTAATAAGTAAAATTAAGTCATATTTATTTGGTTTTAAGTACATGTAAAAGCATAAATGTTTAATTTCTACTGTGTACACATACGTACCTGTCTTTCCAACGTGGGTGGGATAAACAAAAGAAATAAACTATAAATACTCAGAATGTTATTTAAAAATAGACGTTGCTTAGAGAAGTAGAGAAACCGAATTCCAGACTGTGGTTGTCACAGGGGATGAGGATCACACTTATCTCCAAGGTTCTTCATGAAAAAGGAGGGCCCCGCAGCTCACATCATCTGATAGAAGAAAGGGTTTCAGGAGAACCTTCCAGAGGACTGAGTCTGAGAGGGATTTACTGGCTTCCTTAGGCCTGCAGTCCCCCAACCCTGGCTACACATGGGAATCACAGGGCGTCCCCAGCCAGCTCAGTTAAATTACAGGCCAGTCCCTGAGGCCGAGTGTAAATACTTCCAGAACATTCCTCCAGGTGAGTCCACAGGCACATCCACCAGGCACAGAGAGGTGGCTGCATATCAGACTTACCTGGGGGTCCTTAACTCCTGTAGCTGGGCCTGCACCCAGAGTCTGATTTAAGTGATCTTAACTATGGCTGGGTGTGAAATTTTTAAAAGGTCCCCAAATGATTTTTACGTGCAGCCAAGCTGTTCTGGTCTTTCTGGCCTGGTACCAGCTTTGGGAAGCCTGAGTGCCCCTGAGGTCAGGTGCCAGCTCACATATGTTTATATATTTGGAGGGAATGGGTCCATAGCCATCTCGCAATTCTCTACGCTCTCCCTGAGCTCCAGATGCACTGCGAGTCCAAATTTGGGTGATTCGGAGGTTCCGTTTTAACACCTCCTTCCTCATTCATCATGATCCCCACCCGGGTCCCCTTTTCTCGGGGGTTGGTTTTTAATGCCTCAAGGACCGTGAATAATGCCATTCCACCATGCGCAGAACTCACAGCTTACAAACGGCTTGCGCCGCACACATCCATCTGTGAACCAGGTGTTTGAAACGTACCAGCCTGCTTCCCTGAGAGAAGCATGACTGTAAATGAGGGTTATTTGCAGTGAAATATAACGGTAGCAACATTATTATGAATGTGAAATATCTCAAACGTCAGGTGTTCAGTGTTTGTGAGCTACACTAGGAAGGAGATTCCGTTCCCAGCATGTCCTAGGTGCTCAGTGAAACCTGCTGATTGAATCAGTGACTAGGGCAGTGTAGACCGTGCTGACTTGTAGGGAGGGGCCTGGAGGAAGAGAGCAGACACAGGGAGGGGATTCAGGAGACCAGGAGAGGGACTGAGGAAAACGCCCCCGCCTGCCTGTGCACCTTCGAGAGCTTATCTCCCAGCAGCGGGCTCCGGGGAGCTTCTCCCACCCACACCCAGGCCATGTCAGGTCTGCCCTGCGGAGTTCGGCCTGCAGAGGAGGGGGCTTGCTGCCCCAGTGCACCCCCGTGCTTCTCCCCTGCCTGCCCACACCCCACACCCCTCTGTGCTCTGTGCCGATGAACCGTTATTTACAAGTTGTTACTCCCTGTGACCTGCAGGTAGCACCATCTGGCTGGAGGGGGGCACCCCACCCACTGAAGCTGCTCAGGTGAGTCTCCCCAGGTCTGCTTAGACACCAGCTGATGCGGTGAGTGCTGTGGGCTCCAAGGCATTGCCCGCATGTTAACCCCACCAATGCTGGCCTTCCTCCTGCCCCTCAGGGCTGAGTAGTGCAGAGGCCAGGCCCTGGGCTGGAACTCATCTGTCGCCCTTATACCCACACATGGGATCCCCATCCCACTGCACCATTCTTAGGAGTGAAAGTCCAATTTAATAGATGGTTTTGAAAAATAAGAATGTAAAGGGGCCAGTAGGTAGCATGGTGATTAAGGCACGGGAATCCCACATGGCAAGCCATGGTTTGAGCCCTGGACCCAGTGGCTTGATCACACCGGGAGCATGTGCATGCATGCCCTCAATCCCAGGAGGGGAGTGGAGAAGGGGTTGCTGAATGGCCTCCTCCCTGGGGGTGATTTCTCACTTTTTCTCACTTTCCCTCTTTCTGGTGAGTGTACACACCCCACGACCGAAAAAAAAAAAAGTATATTTGTCATAAAAAATTGGGAATACAACAATGAAGTATGGGAACAAGTCACTCTCAGTCGCATCCTCAGAGTGAGATGAGCGTTTTTTAGTGTTTCCTTCTAGTATTTTCCCTCTGATTTCACACATGCACATGGGTTACACATGTAGGTACTCAGGTATATATTTGTTTCTTTTATCAAATCTGGATCCAAATGTACTTCATTATACTTTCTCACAATTTTGCTAGAGGGCACATGTGCTTGCTGGAGAGAATCCCAGGGGAGGTGCAAACCCACCTGCAATGCCCACGCTGCAGTCTCTTCTCTGTTTCTCCTTTTGGAACTCTGGGCACACAGGCACACACCTGACGTGGCGTGATAAGTCCAGGATCGGAGCGGCACAGCTGCCATGTGAGGACCAGCTGCTTTAACCACTGTGCCACCTGGCGGCCCTTGTTATACTTTTTAAATTTAAGCGTTTTTCTGTTTACTAAGTACTCTTCAACAGTACGTTTTTTTTGTTTTGTTTTGTTTGTTTTAAGTGGTTTTGCCATAGAGCACATGAGTTCTCCAGAGAGGCGAGGAGAGAGACAAAAGGAGACAGTGAGAGGGAAAGTGAGAAATCAGCCCCCAAGGAGGGTGGCCACCGTGCAGTCCCTTCTCCTCCTGGGCTTTCAGGCAAGCACGCACATGTGCCCGGCATGACCCAGCATGACCTCCAAGCCTCCAGGTCCGGGACTTGAATTACTTTGGCCCTGCTGGTCCCGAACAGTAGGGTTTTTAACAGCTGTTCCAAAGGCCATCTCATGCATGTTATTTATATAGCAACCCCCCGAACAACCCAGTGCCCGTTTCCAGTGTCTGCTGTTATGTGAACAGTGAAGTGACATCCTTGTAGAGAAATGTCTGTGGCATCTGCATGATTTCTTTCCTTCTCTAATTTTCCCACTGAAAGCCTTCCTGCTCAGCCCTCCCCAAAGCTGGAGTCTTGCTCACTTGGGCCATTGTAGGCCTTAGTTTCCCCAGTTTGAGCGACTGGCAGGAAGTTAGAAGGGGAAACGACATCCGTAAAGGCCTCTCTCACTGAAGGCCTGGGAGGGAGCCTCTTCCTCCGTCTCCCCAGGTGTAGCTTTCCTGCTTCCTGGTCCCTCCTGGCCTAGCCCTGTGCCTTTGCTCACTGCCCTGCTTGGTACCCAGCCCTGATGGGCAGAAAGGCCAAAAGAAGCTGAAAGAGATAGACCACAGCCCAGGGCTGGCCCCACAGTGCAGGGGTTGCAGAAGCTAAGACGCTTATTCCTCATGGTTCCCAGGGAGAGCAGCGAATGGGTGGCCAGGGCCCGTGGGAGCAGAGCCAGGCTTCTTCCTTCCCTGCCCTGCCCTCACCGTGGGCTCTTCCCCCTCCTCCCTCCGTAGCTAGCTGAGGACATCCTCCACACACTGAGAGCTCCTTCCTCAGCGCGTTCGGGGCCCAGAAGGATCTTCCTGGATGCCAGCGTGAAAGATGGCTACTGCCCCATGGTGCCCCACACCATGTACTGCCTGCCCCTGTGGCCGGGCATCAACCTGGTGCTCCTGACCAAGGTGTGTGCCTCGGCCTGCCCAGGATGCTCAGGGCTCTGCGCGGACACACTCAGGACTCTGCCCAGGATCCTCGGGGCTCTCCCCGACGCCTGCTCCACCAGCTGTCGCTGTCCGCGCCCTCTGTTTCAGGGCCCCTGCACCGCCCTGGCCCTGGCCCTGTACCAGCTGCTGGATGGCTTCTCCCTCCTGGAGAAAAAGCTGAAGGAGGGGCAGGAGGCCGGGAGTGCCCTGCGGTCCCAGCCCCTCATGGGAGACCTGCGCCAGAGGATGGACAAGTTTGTCAGGAATCGAGGGGGACAGGAGATCCAGGTGAGCCCACGCTGACCTTGGAGGGGCGCAACTGGCCACGGGGGGCTGTTCACTCCACGGAGGTCTCTGCCCTGCTCCACTGAGGTTTATAAGCCTCAGAAACCACAGCAAAATGACAGTAATTAGCAGCACTTTGTTTTCGGAACCTTACCGTGTGAGTTTGGCAGACCAAGGGTTCTAATCCCTGCTCTTTGGATGGGGACACTGAGGCTTGGGTCATTGCAACTTGGCCAAGCTGTGCATGCTGGAGCCAGAGCTGGGATGTAGTGATTCACAGAAGGCCAGTGGCCCGCCCATCACAGCACTCTCAGAGTGGCCCACACACCTGGGTGCCACTGCCCAGGGCAATATGCAGTTCAGGAGACAGCCCCGCCGCCTCACCCCTGCTTGGGAACTGTCCAGAAATCTGCACACAGAAAATGGGCAGTCATGGGACCAGCAGTTAGCGTAATGACTACCGCATAGTCGACCGTGGTTCACGTCCCGGACCCGGTGGCTTAAAACTCACGCCGGGCGCGTGTGCGTGCGTGCCCAAGATCCCGAGAGGAGAATGGAGGAGAAGGGATTGCGGCATGGCCATCCCCCCTGGGGGGTGATTTCTCGATTTCTATCTCTCTGTCTCTCTCTTTGTCTGGCGAGTGCACGCGCCCTATAGCGAAAACCTCTCAAAAAAAGAAAATGGGTGGTCACAGCGCACCCAGCGCAGACCAGGCTAGAGGCAAGGGAGAGGTGCAGAAGGACCAGGGAGGCCACAGGTTTCAGCAGCTGCGGCCACGCAGGCTCCTGGGTCATTGTGGCTGGGGCATGTGCTGGTCTGAGAGCCAGCAGGATTGGGGAGGCAGCCATCCAGCCCCAGGCCCAGGCCTGTGCAGTCAGGTGCAGAATGGCATCTTGCAGGGCCTGTGGCCCGGGAATGAGCATCCTGTCAGAATGCTGGGTTCTCTCCCTTTAAGGAGGACCTGCCCAAGGCCACCTCCCGAGGCCACCCACAACCATGTCCAGGCGACCTGCAGCAGCTGCTCCTCCTGCACCCCAGCCCCAGGCTGAGCTCATCACTAGGATGCCTTGGTGTGTGTGTGCCCGCTAGGCATTGAGCCACACGCGGCCAGGGGATGCTGTTCTGCAAATAGTCCCCTTCTGCGTGGACAGTGTGGTGCAGGGGCTGTGGAGAAGCTGGCCACATTAGCACAGAGGGTCTGTGGCCTGGCACCCTCAGAGCCCAGCGTCACAAAGGGTCTCCTTGGGAACAAGGTCAGGAAGCGACTGGCCCCTCTCCTCCTTCCAGAGCACCTGGCTGGAGTTCAAGACCAAGGCCTTCTCCAGAAGTGAACCAGGATCGTCCTGGGAGTAAGTGGGGGCCCAGAGGACAGGGGTTAGTCTCTGGACGCCAGGGCCTCTTCCCCCAAGCCTCTGGGCCAAGGAGGAGGGATTGCAGGAGGGAGCCCAGGAGGGCCCAAGGAGGCTGCAGGGAGGTTGGGGAGCCAGCTGGAGGAGGAACGGTGGAGACCCTGGGGGCACATGAAAGCTGGGCCCTGCAGCCCCTCCTTTCTCAGCAAAATGATCTCACGAGAGATTTCTTCCCATGTGTGTGGAGCACCGGGTGGGGGAGGCTGGGAGGCTGCTTCCCAGAGGCTTGATCAGCTGTGACCATGCAGGGCAGAGCTCGCCTGGGCCGTCTGTGGGAGTGCAAGGCAGTGGCACACAGGTGGGGGCTCCCCTGGCCTGCCCGTGGTGGGGACAGCCCGTGGCAGGGGGGGGGGCGAGACCGGG